TTAGTATCTTACTTGTCACGAATAAAAATAAAAATTTAATTCCGACCAAAGTGATGAACAAACAGCTAGCCAAAGTAGATCCTAAAATAACTCCAATCTAAACACCTTCAAGCTGTTCAAGAAAATGCAAAAAATAATCAATTAACTTAAAACATCAGAATGCTTTTTGTGGAAGAAACAGACAAGCCACACCAGATATCACTCTCACATTGTCCCCTGCAGGTAAGACGCTAACTGCTTGTATATATTCCACACAATCCCACTTCAAAACAACCTTTTTATTTATTTTTTCTTATCTCTAAAGGCACCAATTGGCCTAAAAGAACATTATTCATTATCATGCTTTAGTAGGATTTTCTGACACGTCAACAAGTTTGTGTCATTTTTTCTAAAAGTCTTCCGAGGTCGAAACACAGCCTGTGAAGCCACCAGCTCTCAATGCAGCAGAGCGGGGTTTGGGTTGTGCGAGGGCTGGAGATTTGCACCAAAGTTGGAAAATTGTTTCTATTTAAGATAATTTAATTAGGTCAATGACAGTCCACTTTATCGCTTTCAGTTTATAACAAATAAAAGGTAAAAAAAAAAAAAAGCTCAATGAATCCACATTCCTGACGGTGAACATTATGCTAAAGCACGTTAACGTGTTGTGCCGTCTCACAGAGTAGCTTTTATTTCTTTTCAGCTTGTTCTTTTCCAAAACATCTGTAAACGTGACGAGACGAGGCTTAACGTTAGGTTCAACCACACACCTGCTAAAACCAGCTAACTGAACTTTTATCTGCAGCTGCCTGCGATGCAGCTCTGCTCCGTTCATCCTCCTAACTCAGAGGAATCTGTGCAGTCTGTAAACCAGGCTGGTTTCTTTAATTTTTTATTTTTCCATTATGAGATGAGGCACTGTTACGAGCACGTTCACTCGGTGCTTCTCCACCCAAACTTGGCAACGTTGAGACCAAAAAAACTGTATGAAATGTAACAACTTTACAAAATACACAAACAGCTCCAGATGATGAAGAAACAGTGATGCTTGTTTTGTTGCAGTATTCTTCCTGACTGTGTACCAGGGTTTGTGTATTACCCCACAGTCAAATTCAAGCACTTTCAAGGTAAATTGTCATTACTTTCCAGTGTAAGGGTCACCCCGAGGGGGAAAAAACATTTCCATCTGTCTTTGACTCTGGCCTCAAAAGAGACATTTTATTT